TGCTGCTTCTTTAAAACAGTTATTTGGAATTCTTTGCCTGGTAGTTCACAGATCTCCTTTTTTTGGTGGGGTAGTAACTGGAAATTAATAATGTTGCTTTTGAGTTTCATGTTTTCTTGATTTTTTTCATGTTTCTTGTACCCTTGTTTTGGTGTTTGTGCATTTGAAGAATCAGATCTCTTCCAGAGTTTTCTGACTAGCACTGGTGGGTGTGAGGGTGCTGACTGGGTGGGATGTGTTTCAGCATCAGGTGTGGTTCTGGGTCCGTGAGCTCTGGCTCAGTACAGAGAACAGTGGTGTCCCTGGCTCCAAGGAATGTAATAGTGGTGGCATGAGCTCCAGGCATCTCTGTCACCTAGGGCCATGTTAGTCCTTTTCCTTGACACTGAAGTCTGCTGATGCCCTAGGTAGTGGTGAGTTCTGGTAGAGTCCTTATTGGCGAAAGCCATTGGTGTCTTTCTGCTCTCTCTTTCCCCTCTTGGGAGGGAGTTGTAGCTGAGGTCATTCCTTTTGGAGCTGAGCTGCCTGAGCCTATATGATGGAATGATATGGGTAAAATGCTTTTCTTTAAAGATTTTATTTAATTTTAGAGAGAGGAGAAGGGAGGGAGAAAGAGAAACATTGATGTGAGAGAAACATCCACCAGTTGTCTCTTGTATAAGCCCCAACTGGGGACCAAAACTGCAACCCAGGCATGTGCCCTGACCAGGAATTTAGTGACTTTTAGCGACTTTTCACTTTGTGGAACAAAGCCCAAACAATTGAGCCATCATAGTCATAGTGCTTCCTATACTTTTTTATTTGGTCATTTTTGTTTTTTGTGCTGTACTGGGTTGCTGTAGCTTCTTAATTATACTCCAGAGCTCTTTCAGAGCTATAGTTTCATTTGTAGGTAGTTGTTAAAATGTGTGTGTGTGTGTGTGTATAAGAGCTGAGACCTCCTAGTCTGCCATCTTGCTGTCACTACCATGGATTCTTTTTTTCAAAATTGTTTTGTTTTCTTTCTTTTTTAAAAATTGATTCTAGAGAGGGGAAAGTAAGAGGAAAGAGAGGGAGGGAGAGAAATAGCTATATGTGAAAGAAAAACATCAGCTGATGGTCTCTTGCACACATCCTGACCAGAAATCGAATCCACAACCCACGAATGTGTCCTGCCTTGCAGTCAAAGCAGTGACCTTTTGGTTTGTGGGGTGATGCCCAATCCACTGAGCACACTGGTCAGGGTACTCCCGTGAATTCTTTATATTTCTCAGAAATAAGCCCTAGCTGTCTGTATCCTGAGCTTCAGTTTGTCATTTGTGTTTTGATTTTGTTTCTTCTGGGTTTTTGTTCAATTTTTGGTATTAATATTTATTTTTTAACTGCTTTTAGAGTTTGTCATGGTTAGAAAGGCTTTCACTACTCCAGAGTAATTGAGGGATTTGCTTGTGTTTTCTTTTATTATTTCCTGTGTACTAACTTTTACCTTACATCTTTGATGATTTGAAGTTTATTTTTGTAACAGTATGAGATAGGGATCTAAGTCTGTATTTTTCTAGATTGTTATCTGGTTTTCTTAACATTGTTTAGATACTCCTCATTTGGGATGTTAGGCAGTTTTTATTTTGGATTACTTGTTACTTTGATGTAACAAAGTGAATAAAAATCAAGTACAACAAAATGTCAATGAGTGCCAAGATGAATGTTTTCAATAAAATTAAAGAAATGGATTTTATGCCTCGGATCAATGAATAAGAAGCTGGAAGATGTTATTAATGCATTAAGGAATCCTCATATATTGTTTCAACAGTAACAAAAACAGCAACAAAAAGTGAAAAGTGATTAAAAATTCCAGGGAAAATAAGTGATTGTATAATTAAGGCATAAAGCAGACTAAAATTTTGGATGATTTTGAGCAGTTGGTGGAGAATAAGGAGAGAGAAGGAATTTAGGTCCTTACCTTAGTAAAGTCTTCCTTTATGTAAAATGTTGGATCCATAGAGAAGGAAATACAGGAAATCTTGTTGGGTTCTACATTAAACAATACTTATATTGATTGAAACAATCTAAATACTGTTGGCTTGCAGTTTTTGTAGTTAACCTAAAAATAAATCATGGAAGACTTAATTATGGCTACAGAAGAAAACTTAAATGTTAGTAGCCTTGTTGATGAACAAGTCAAAGTTTGGTAAGATGAAGTTGAATCCAATATATAGAAATATCCTTTAAAGTAGGTGAAACAAGAAATAGGGTTTTAAGTTTCCTATTTAAAGTTTATACAGTTATTTAGTTTAGTGATTCTTATCATATCTCAGATATGCAGTTTAAACTGATCCCACTAGGGAAAGTTTTTTTCTTATTATTTATAGAAATTATGCCTTAGCCGGTGTGGCTCAGTGGATTGAGAACTGGCCTGGAAACCAAAAGGTTGCTGATTCAAGTTCCAGTCAAGGCACAGGCCTGGGTTGTGGGCGAGGTGTTTTTCTCTTCATTTCCTTCTCCCTCTCTCTCTTCTTTTCCCTCTCTTTTCTCTCTCCTCCCCTCCCCTCCCTTCCCCTTCCCTCCCCTTACATATATATATGTAAATATACATATATATATTTTTAAGAGATAAAAATATAAATAAGATTTTGGCCCAGTCAAGTTGACACACATAAAATTAATCATCATGGTAACCGACAATAAATTCAGGATTAGAGTGAACATCTGAATTTTTTCTTAAAAATTTTTTTTTGCTAGATGACCTCTACCCTTTTACTTTTCTTTGTCTGTAAGCCTTAAAAATATTCTGATCTTATCCAGTCTCATGTTTTTAAAATGGGATCTTCCTGCAGAGGACTTCCAAAGTTAGCTCCAAAGCCAGCCTGGATTGACTGTTGGATGTCTAAAAGACATTTCAAACATGACATGCCCAACACCAAGTTCCTAAAATCTCCCTCTCCTGAAAACTGATTTCTTTGTCTTTTTTCATTAATTAAAGCTCCCTTTTTTTTCTGCTGCAGATTTTTCCACTTCCTTCTCATAGTATATCCACAATCTGACCACTCTCACTGTACCTAACATCCTAGTTCTAGGATGTTATTACTAACATCCTAGTTCTTTTTCGTCAGTCTCTTTCATGAGGATTATTTCAGTAGTTTATAGGGGTGTCTCTGCTTCCACCTCTGTCCTCCTCTAGCATTAAGATAAAAGTGTGTTCCTTTAAAAAGGTAAGTCAGGCTTAGAACTCTTTAGTGGCTTTCTTTCTTACTCAGGATACAAGCCTAAATCCGTATCATGCATTACAAGACCTGCAATGGTATGGCTTCCCACTTCCCCCTCTTCTACTTTTGAACTCATCTTTTGCTTTTGTTCCCCCTGCTTACTCCTTTACAGCCAAACTGGCTTCCTTGCTGTGCTTTGAACACGCCAGACATTTCCCCCACCTTATGGTCTTTGCACTTGCTGGAATGCACTTCCTTCTCTTAAGTCTTTACTCAGAAGTTGCCTTCTCAGAAAGGACTTTCTCAGCCACCCTATGTTATTCCTTTTATTTTTCTTTAGCACTTACCAATATTTAATAGACAATATTTTTTATTTATATTGCTTGTATCTACCTTCCCCAGAATTTAAGTTGGACAAATATTTTTGGCCCAATATTGTACCCCCAATGTCTATATAAATGTTTAACTGACAGTAAGCATTCAATATTTGTTAAAGAAATCAATTGTACATAATCCATTTCACCAAAATAAAATAAAATTATCAGCTTGTTCAAAGCAGTGTGTTAAAAATTTTATTTCATAGGAAATGTGAATTGATTATTGTGTTTTTTGCTTAAAATTTATCAAATACAAGCAGGATTTCAGAAAATGTGCACTCATACATGGCTGGTTGGGGTTTAACTTGGTTAACTACTCTGGAGGACTATATAAAATTGTTAAAAGTGTATAAAAATGAACAAATCTTGGGAATTCTTGGAACTTATCCTGCTAAAATGAATAACTACAGAGTTCTTGGTACAAGTATATTTATTTTGGAATAGTTTCATAAAACTGGGTAAATAGACAAAAATGAGAGTGATTTGGTAGACTATGGTATAAATATTGGAATACTACATAACCATTAAAAAGCTATGTTGTAGGTCAATTTGTCATAGAAAGGGGTTTGTTATATATTGGGCGAATAGGGTACAACATAGTACATATATTATTATTCCTCTCCCCACTGGCTCTTTTTAAAAGTATAAATGCATTGAAAAGTACCTACTGGAACCAAAATATTAATGATTGCTGTTTCTGGGTTGTGAGATGATTTGTTTAAAACAACTTTATCCCTTATGCTTTTCCCTATTCTTAATTTGTTTTCATCATATTTTCTTCAATGAAGAGCTGATAATAAATATTAAACTCATCTATATTCCTTTTGCAGTCCTTCTTGCTTTATTTGTCTTCTTGGTAGTTAATTTCTGTACTTTTAACTTGTATTTTATTGTCATCTACCACTATCCCCTCTGGACATAAAACTTTTAAAGGAGAGGAACTTTGTTTTGTTCACTGCTAAATCCTAGGATCCTAGGAAAGTGGCTAGCATATAGTAGGTGCTCCATAAGTATGTGCTGAATAAATAAATGAGTGTATTGTTTTTGTTATAAGGAAGAAAGTTATCGTGAATAATATTTTGAAAAAAGTTACTAGAGCCCTGGCTGGTGTAGCTCAGTGGATTGAGCGCGGGCCTCTCAACCAAAGGGTGTCTGGTTCGATTCCTAGTCAGGGCACATGTGTAGGTTGCGGGGTAGGTCCCCAGTAGGGGGCACATGAGAGGCAGCTGCACGTTGATGTTTCTCTCCCTCTCCTTCCCTTCCCTCTCTCTCTAAAAGTAAATAAATAATGTCTTTAAAAACAAAAAAGAAAAAAAGTTACTAGAAGTAAATAGTGCATGGAAGATAAATGCCACATTTTATACCATACAGTTTTATTATCAGGAGGAGTTTGTAACTAAATAAAGAGTCTTAATGAGATTTTCTGTTTTTTTTCTTCAAGGTTTCTAAATATTCTTTACAGAAGAAAGTGAGTGAAATGGTAAGGAAATTACAAAATATATACCTACTCCCAGACTAAATTACAGTTTCAAATATAGCTTAAATTAATTTATTTTACAAATTTATTTCTAGATTACATAATGTTTACATATTATCAAATACATTTAATATAGTTTCCATATTATTGGTAGAGGTCTTATATTAAAATAAAACAGCAAAAAATAAGAACAGCAAAACCTCTTAATGATACTTTTGTAGCTATTTATGCAAATGTAGAGTTATTAATTATAGCCTGAAAAATTAAAAATAATATGAAGTAGCATTTCAATACAGCATGTGGGGGATGGTACCTACCCATTATCATTCAACAAGTGTTTATTTGTATATTCCTTTTCTATAGTGTCTTAAAAGTTAATATTTGCATTTTTACAGACTAACATTATGCAATATTTACTTTGATATTCTCTTTTTAGCCCTATTTGATTTAGAACTATTTATTTTTGTATTTTTGAGTAAGCAAAATTCTCCCATATCCACTTAAACCTTCAGAGGGTTTTTTGGCTGGGTTTACCCTATTTTAATCATCCTTTTTTGGAGCATACTATAAGGCAAGTAAAATTAGTTTTTAAATAAGTCTTATATATTATATATTATATACATGAGGAGTAAGAAATTAGAGATTATCCTTCAGACATTTAATACAAAAACAAAGTAAATATTTTTTTGAAATTATTTTGGTGTGTTAGAAAATACACCAAAAGAGCCATAGAAAGATTGTTAAGCTTGATTAAATAAAAGAGTGAAAATTCTGTCACTGTTCAGCTGGAAAGAATAAAGATAATATTGTCAGACTGTTTTAAGCTATGATTTTAATTAAAAAGCTGAAAAACTAGATTCCAGTTTAGCTTTAAGTACCATGACATTTGTACTGAAAGTCATCTTCAACGCTACAGTGGTTTTACACAAAATATAGTGAAATTGAATAATGTGCCCTCTGACCTGGGAGATAAGGCTACAAGTTAAAGATCAAAAGCAACATAAAATGTGTTTTATTTATTCCACTTTAAAATTTCATCAGGTATTTATAATTCTAAATAAACCCATGGAAACATGCAGTATACTTGTGGTAGTTTTTCGTCACTTGTGAGCATTTTGTTAGTATGAATTACAGCCTCTTAAGAACCTACTAAAATATATTTGACTTATACTTACAATATGTTTTTCTGGCAGTTCAACGTCTTATATATTAAGATGTGCATTTATTATGCCCACTCTGGCATAATACTGTATGTTTTTCAATAATTGATCTTAAAGTTAAAAATAACCTTTTTTTCTGAAGATTCTTACACTCTTTTTACCTTATTTTTATATCATTCAGATCTTTTTTTCTATGTAAAGTGCTAGGCAATATTCAGTTAATCTTATTTTGTTCGAATCAGTACATTATTCTTTATATTATTTGGTTCTATGAGCAAGTCAGGAAGCAAGCTGGTCACTGTCAAGGCAGGACCATGGGGAGCAATTAATAAGGTTAAAAGTGCTGAAAGAAATAATTTAAAAAATAGTTTTAAGAAACTTTTGAAGAAGTTAATGATCTGTTGGTGAGCCCTTCACTACTGGTTTCTGTCTTTTGTGAATTCAATAAACTTGTTTTTGTGTAGAGGTGGTAATATGTCTCTAAATTAACACAATTATGAATCAAGAGGTTCCTCTATCTGTAAAGTATCCAAACCTTTTCTTGAAAAGATGATCATATTGGTTATTACCAATAAAAAGAATGCAACAAAATATGATAAAAGCTTACCAGAGAACATCGAAGTAACTGTCTTTGTGATTTGGTCATTGATGAAAATCTTTTCAGTGTGTTCCTGTGATTACTGTGTTAGATGACTGTGTTGTGTAACTGAAAAGCTAATGCAGCTTAATGAATGAAGTAGAAACATCCAAGTATCTGATTATATTTTATTTGTATATCCCTTCTAAAGAGAAGACTTAAAGATTTCTTTTTCTTTTTTTATTCCTTTTTATTGAATTTATGGGGTGACACTAGTTAACAAAATCATAACAGGTTTCAGGTGTACAGTTCTACAGCACATCATCTGTACACTGTTGTGCATTCGCCACACCAAGTCAGTCTGTGTCCATCACCATTTATCCCTCCTATACCCTTTTTTGCCTCCCTCTATTCCCCTGGCAGTCACCACACTGTTGTCTATGTCCATGAGTTTTCTGTCTCTTTTTTTTTCATTTCACCCTTTCACCCTCCTTTACCCTTCCACCAGCAGCTGTCAGCCAGCTGTCTATGAGTCTGTTTCTATTTTGCTTATTAGTTTATTTTGTTCATTAGATTCCACATATGAGTGAAATAAAATGGTACTTGTCTTTCACTGATGGCTTATGTCACTTATCCTAATGCTGTCCATGTTCATCCATGCTGTCACAAAGGGCAAGATTTCCTTCCTTTTTACGGTGGGTAATACTCCATTGTATAAATGTACCATAGCTTTTTAAATCCACTTATCTGTTGATGGACACTTGGGCTGCTTCCAGATCTTGGCTATTGTAAATAATGCTGCAATGAACATAGGTGTGTACATATTCTTTCAAATTAGTGTTTCAGGTTTCTTTGGATAAATTCTGAGAAGTGGAATTGCTGGTTCATAAGACAGTTTCATTCTTAACTTTTTGAGGTAATTCCATACTGCTTTCCACAGTGGCTGCACTAGTCTGCATTCCCACCAGTAGGGCACAAGGGTTCCCTTTTCTCCACATGCTTGTCAACACTTGTTTATTGATTTATTGTTGATAGTAATTCTCTTCTGATAGGTGTGTGGTGATAGCTCATTGTCTTAATTTGCATTTCTCTAATGATTAGTGACATTGGGCATATTTTCATATGCCTATTGGCCATCTGTATTGTCCTCTTAGGAGAAGTGACTTTTCAGGGCCTTTGCTCATTTTTAAATAAAATTGTATGGTTGTTTTTGGTGGTGTTTTGTAAGTTCTTCATAAATTTTGGATATTAACCCCTTGTCAAATGTATTGGCAAATACGTTCTCCCATTCTGTGCATTGTCTTTTCTTTTGTTGATGGTTTCCTTTGCTGTGCAAATACTTTTTACTTTGATGTAAAATTTAGTTTTCTTTATTAAATTAACCCAGAGTTTCAGTATTGAAAATTTGCATGTGATTTTGAATTACAACATTTTTTTCAGAGTAGAATATATTTAGACTGAAGACTTGTCTGGAAAGAATCTTCGTGATTACACATTATGTATATCTGTGCACATGTACAGAGTATGTGTAACTTCAGATCTTTTAAGTATGTATATTTATATTTGTGACTGAAAAGGTAAAATATTCTTAAAGATGCTATAAGTTTTTAAAAAGTCTATTGTATAAGCCCATTGCTTTATTTTGGATTTAATTGAAGAAAATGAAGGTAAGTTACAAAATTAGAACTGAAGAATATATAAAGTTTATTTTTGTTTTATCTTTTTCTTTATAGTTTACTTATAATGTATTATTTCTTTTAAGGGAAATTAATTTGATTTCAAAAGGTTTTCAAATTGATCTCCATAAGGAAATGAGGAAAGGGGGAAATGAACAGCTATACTAATGTAGTTCTAAAAATGCATGTAAATATTATTTTTAAGTGATTCCTATTCAAATAGCTGGAGGCTTTTAAGTAATCTATACACATACATACAGCTACTTGCTAATTATGTACATGCTGTCTTTTCTTTCTCTAATTTTGATTTTCATAGTTTAAGTTTGTTTGAAATGAGGTACAATGTGTTTGGTAAGCAGTGAACTTTCCAAAGAGAAGATATATTATTTTCCTGTGGTTAGATTTTTTTGCATATAGTAGTAAAATTGTGTAAGAGAATAAATAACATTAACAAATTCACAGAGGCAAAGAAAATGAAAACCATATGAACTTAGCTATTTCTTAATCATCTCAATAAAGTAATCCTTAGTTATTCTGTTGTACTATTTTGATATTAAAGTTTTAATAACACTAATTTATTTTTTTTAACTTGATTCATTTTTTTTCTTTTTTCTAACTTCAAGTATATGCTAGTCATTATTGAGACTATGTACTGGTAGCCTTTTAAAAAAGATTATATTTATTTATATTTAGAGATAGGGGAAGGGAAGGAGAAAGAGAGGAAGAGAAACATCAATGTGTGGTTGCCTCCTGCTACCCCCACTGGAGACCTGGCCCACAACCCAGGCATGTGCCCTGCCTGGGAATTGAACCAGCAGCGCTTTGCTTTGCAGGCCTGCACTCAATCCACTGAGCCTCACCAGCCAGGGTGCCTTTTTTTAAAAAAAATATTTTATTTATTCATTTTTAGATAGAGGGGAAGTGAAGGAGAGAGGGAGAGAAATATCAGTGTGTGGTTGCCTCTCGAGCTCCCCCTACTGGGGACCTGGCCCACAACTGAGGCATGTGCCCTGACTGGGAATCAAACTGTAGACCCTTTGGTTTGCAGCCTGTGCTTAACCCACTGAATAACACCAGTCAGGGAAATTTATTTATATTTTTTTAAATGTTGTTGGGTTTCTCAGACAGGTGTTACTAATATACGTTTTGTTGCTGTTTTCCACACAGTTCAGACTATTTGCTGACAGTCATGCAGTTAGTGGCCAACTTGACAACTGACCTCTTTCTTTATCTCCCTGTCAGGCACCCAACAAAATACATGTATGAACAATCCTGTGTAAGCCTGTCTGGCTAATAAGGCACATAAGCTGTAGGTGCTTATGTGATTTGAAAGTCTTTATAGTTTTTATTGTGGCCATAGAGTAATATGTTTGAAAATCAGAATTATGTCATGCAAACAAATGAAATAGCATTTAAATTGAATTTAACTTTGGCCTCAAGCAAAGGATGTTGGACTAGAGTATATCACAAATTACTTTAATGTGATAGAACTCTATGTATGTAGAGAATTCCTATGAAATAACTTGATCTTTGCTGCATTTTTAGGTACCAGGATTGTTAACGTTTGCAGGTTTGGCAGCCTATTTGATCCACAACTTTTAAACTGAAACTTTAAGTTAAGGAAGCCTGTGTTAATATGTAGAGGACAGTATTCTCATAGAGGCTATATAAAAATTGCTTTGAATTGAAAATTTGAAAAATTCCTTGAATTGAAAAAATGCCTTTAGACCAGTTTCTAGTGAAATTGTATGAGATTTCTATACATCTGATGAAAAAGTGAATATAAGTCTCTGGATTAGAGAATTAAATGGTATTTTAGAGGAATGAAATTTGGTTCATTATTGTTCATTGTTTACTTACAACAGTAACTACTCAGGTAGGCCATGTAAGCTCAGGTGGTAAGTACACATCATCTTGTTTGCTTTATAACTGCTACACCATTAATTCAAATGATTAGGTAGCGAATTTGAAGAGCCATAGATATGTGTGAGAAACTTTCAACTGATCTATCATAATCATTACCAATGATATTATCGCCTAAAAGTATCTTTGAAAAAGTTAAAATTACAAGATTTTCCAAGATAATATAGTCAGATAAAGCTTAAACCTATATTAATATTAGAGAGGGCTATTCTTATTTAAAATAAAAATGAAAACTATAAAGGTACTTTTATCAGTTAAGGAATAATAATGACAAAACATTTTGTGTATTTATTATGTGACAGTCTCTGTTCTTAGTGCTTTGTGTTCATTTTTATCCTCACAACAATCCTGTAAGGGAGATACTATCAGAGTCTTTGTTTAAAGACAAGATATACGATTTTCCTAAGGTCACACAGCAACTAAACTACAGAGGTAGAACTTAAACATAGGTACACTATCTTCTGACCATTCTATAGTGCCTGCACTTGGGTTTTTAGCTATATGAAGGAGCACTGGTTAACTTATGCAAATGGAGATTTAGTAGAGGTCCTCATAATAAATCAGAGGGTGAAGAATGGGTTTGAGAATGAACAGGGACCAAGGTAATTCCAGAGTTTGTGAAGCAGGATGAAGGAACCCAGGACAGAGGTCTCACATCAGTCTGGATAGGATCAATCATCACTGAACTTCTTTAGTGTTAACGTTCTTTTTGCTCAAGATTTAAATTCTCAAATGGAAGAAATCAATTGGTTTATTTTGAGTAATATGCCTTTCACTTGACTAGGGAAGAATAGGACTCCTGAATTTTAGTCTTACTAGATCATAATAAGGAAAAAATTTTTCAAGTAAATACTTGAAGTTGTGGTAAAGGAGACCGATAGCCAGGCAAATCTAACAAATTTCTACTGTTGGAACTCTACAGGACAACAGAATTCATTCCGAAAACAATTACTGAGTGCAGGTTGATGGGTCTTACACTGTTCTTTATCACTGCTCATCATAGAAGCTGAAGTGTGTGGCAAAAATGAATGAAAGTTGTGAAACCAATCAATGATTCTGCTAATGCCAAGTCAAGATCAAGACCTTTAAAAATGTCAATGATTCTATTAAAATAATATTTCTCCTTAAACTTTAAGTCATATTTCTAAGTATGCTGAAAAACAAGCTCCTCTAGCTGAAAGCGGTGAGGGCCCATATTATATGTGGAATCCAATTTTTACCAGTTGTCTTCCTCAGCTTAAATAGACTTTTTACTGTACTATATTACCTCTCTGTGACTTACAGATATTGTCCTCATCATTCCATTTTTAATACATTGATAAGGTGCCATATTCATTAAAGTTAATCTTAGAAAAATTACCTCAATTTTGATAATGAAATCATTATTAGGCCAGCAAATTTAGAGCAAAAAAATTTTTTCCTAAATTACCAAAAGTATTGCTTTAATATTCTCCCCACATTGCTTATGTTAGACTGGATTAATTAACTTTTCAATAAATAAAAGTTGATTTTTGAAAAAGAAACTAAAAGGAAATACAATCATGTGACTATTCTGTTATAGGAAAAATGTGCTTTAATTTTACATAAATTTAGAAATACCTCAACATTTCCTCCCTGTGGTATACTCAGTACTTTTAAATGACATAATTTATGTTAATAACAAGTTATTAAAAATAATAGCTTTTTATACATTTAATACGTATGTGTGCATATATGTATATGTATGGGTGTTATGTGAGCCAATCCTCACTTTTATTTAAGCCAGTTTGGATAGGCCCAGTATAGTTTTCTTGTATTTGCAACTATAACATTTACAACAACTCTTTAAAATAGGAACAAAAAGTCCAGTTACATCTTTTGGCTAAAGAAGATCATCAGAAGCAACTGAATGAAATTGAGAAGCACTACGCCACAGTAACAGGCCAGTTTGGAATGGTAAAAGAGAATCACGAAAAGTTAGAACAAAATGGTAGGTGCCGTCTTATTTCAACTTCCTGATATATTTAATAGGAAATGTTTAAATGAACTTAATATTTATAATGAATAAATTGAAGTTAACTGAGACTAGTAATAGTAAATGGCAGCTTAGTGAATTTGATTTAAATTTGGTGACAATTATGTACATTGCTTTGAGGCTGTTTTCCTTGTCTGTGTTAGTGATACTTTCCTTAAAATGTAAGTTGAATATAATATTTTCCTCAATGTCTTTCATGTTTGCAGTACAGGAAGCAATACAGTTAAACAAAAGACTTTCAGCTTCAAATAGAAAACAAGAATCTGAAATATGCAGTTTGAAAAAGGTATGATTGATACAGCATTATACTATTGAATAAAATTACAGTCTAAAATAATTCACTTTATGAAACATTATTAGAAAAGGTTGGGTAGATTTTTGTTATAAATAAAATGTTTTAAATACAGATTCATAAAATTTTGTTTTGATTCCAATAAAGGTGATAAATGAATGTGTTCTAACCTATTTGAAATATTGTTTGACTTGTCGCCAGTGGCATGCCTTTTTCTGGTGACATCAGTAGCCTATAGGAATTCATTATTATATGTCAATCTTACTACATTCATTCAAATATTTGAGTGACTCTATTTGCCAAATATTATGTGGCACTGAGGATACAGGTATGGAGAAAATAAAACATGGCCCTGCTTCTTTGAAGTTGATAGTCCAATGGAGGAATTAGACATAAAACAATCAAATAGGTTAAATAATTTAAAACTGTTGTAAGTTATATGGAGAAAAAGTAAAGGATGTAATGACATTACAATAGATGACATTATTTCAGTGGAGGTAAAGGGGTGGAGGAGGGAAGAAAATAATGTTTTAGGCAAGGGAAATAGCACATGCAAAAGCCTTGAAGCAGGAAAGAGTTTTTAGTATAATACATGAGGAACTAGAAAAAGTATGATACGGTTGGAGCATCACTAGTGAAGGAATGCATTGGACATTTATTGATTGCTAACTGAACATCAATACCCCTTTTCTCCTTCCTAAACTCATCCAGATTATTATTTTGATGCCTCCAGTTCAGAGATGAGCCCTAAATTGGCAGAAGGCCATAAACATACTTCCTTCCTCTGTCCACAGCCATTGGTTCAGGAGTGGACAAATGGCCTTAGGTAGTGGTTATAAACCAGAAAGAATGTAAGCCCACTGTGGCTGTCAGTCATCCTACAACCAACCATAAGAAGCCAAAAAGGACCTGACAGTGTGGATGCCAGATTGGTGTTGTATAAAGAACCTTGTTCTTGGATGATGTTTTTGAGTCCTCGGATTGACCGACCTTATCCTTTCTTACCTCTTAGACTTTTCATTTATGGGAGCCAATAAATACTGTTTTATTTAAGCCAGTTTGGATATGGTCAGTGTAATTTTCCTATATTTGCAACTAAAAGTATCCCTGCTGATGCAAGGGGAGAGTGATATGAGAGAAAGAAGCAGGCAAGACCTTGTTCTCTCTACAGAGAATGGCTTCCTGTTTCCTGTTCCCTCCTCCCTTCACTGCTCCATCTGAAATACCACTTTGAACCACCTTCCTGTCCCTTAGAATCAAGTACCTGTTCTTACTGACCCTCAATAAATGTTTTCATACTCAGCACTTATTATCCAATGTTTATTTAAAAACTACAACTACTTTGTAGTTTTAAAATTTATTGGTGCACAAAATATCATCTATTTCTCTCTCCAGATCCAGACTTACCCATCCTTCTTTCCTTGTAAGGCTTACCTATATAGACTGCATCAGTGTCTCACCTCTTCTGGCTTTTTGTTGAGTTGAGCCAGGGCAAGAGATGGGAGGAGGGAGCATGAATAAATACAGAGTAGGGCAAAAGCAGGTTTACAGTTGTTTGTATGGAAAATAATATAATAATTAATAAATAATATAAGAGTAAACTCTTTCATGTTCTCACACTTGTAAGCCTACTTTTGCCCTACCCTGTATATTTATACTCCCTGTTCTTTCCCTGTGACATGAATTCAGAGTGGCCCTACCCCTTAATACATCACTACTTCTCGGGTTGGCCTACTCCAAGTGATGCTCTTTTTCTGGGTTTCAGTAAACTCCTCTTGTCCTTTTGGGTCCAGGAGTGGTGACAGCTCCATTGCTGCTAGTCCCTCAAACTTGCCTCATTTCTTACGGTTTCTTTATATTATATCCACACCTTTGGAAATAAACCATTGGCAAATTACCCTAATTTATGTCTACTACCTGTTCCCTATTGGGATTCTGAGTATACGCTTGATTAGAGTATAACATTAGTAAGGTCAAAGATGTGGATTTAGTTTCCTATTAGGCTAATTGATTCAGTACAGAGAAATTTATTTTTATTTTTTTAAATTCTTACCCAAGAATATGTTTACTGATCTTACAGAGGGAAGGAGAAACACTGATGTGAGAGAGAAACATTGCTCAGTTGCCTTCTGTATGCATCCCAGCTGGGGATCGAACCTGCAGTATTTTGGTGTATAAGATGATGCTCCAACCAATGAGACGATGCTTCTTTTCCCACCTGGCTAGGGCAAGAGAAATTTCTTTTCTATTCAAAGATTACACTGCAAACCTCAAGTAGCCATTTATAAAATATATTCTTGGGAGTCAAAAGATAAATGAATATGAATGATGTTCTGTTACATCATTAATTTGAGGAAAATTTAAATTTTGGGTCAGTGTTTTCATCTCGATTCTAAATGATTCTGTTTTTAAAGGGGGGGATAAACTCACCTCAAGCATTTACAGCTTTATGCATACATCAGATTTCACTATTTTTACTTACTTATTTAAATTAATAAACTTTACTTTTTAGAGCAGTTTTAGTTTCACAGCAAAATTGAATGGGAAGTGTAGAGAATTCCCATATACTCCCTGTCCCCACACATGTAGTCTCTCCCATTGTCAACATTCCCATATCAGAATGATGCATTGGTTACAGCCGATGAACCTGCACTACAGATCATTGTCATCCAATTCCATAGTTTACATCAGGGTTGACTCTTGGTGCTATAATCTCTGGGATTGGACAATGTTTAATGCCCTGTATCTATCATTATAGTACAGGGCATTATAGAAGGTCATCTGTGCTCTGCTTTTTCATCCCTTCCTCCCCACTAACCCATGACAACACTGATCTCTCTATTGTTTCCATAGTTTTGTCTTTTCCAGAATGTTCCATAGTTGGAGTCATACAGAATGTAGCCCTTTCAGATTGTCTTTTTTTTCACTTGGTAATATGCATTTAAGGCTCCTCTATGTTTTTTTTTCATGGCTTGATAGCTCCTTTTTATTATTCAATAATATTCCATTTTTTTTACCATAGTTTGTTCATCCATTTACCTACTAAAGGGCTTCTTGGTTGCTTGAAAATTTTGGCAATTATCAATACTGCAATAAATATCTGTGTGCAGTTTTTGTGTGGACATAAGTTTTTGACTCCTTTGTATAAATACCAAGGAGTGTGATTGCTTGGAAATTATATTAAGAGTATGTTTAGTTTTTGTAGATCTACCAAACTGTCTTTCAAAGTCGCTGTATGTTTTGCATTCCCACCAGCAATGAATGAAAGTTCCTTTTGCTCCACATCTTTGCCAGCAGTTGGCGTTGTCAGTATTTTGGATTTTGCCCATTTTAATAGGTGATAGGAGGCTCTCTTTGTTGTTTTGATCAATTTATACTTCCTTCGTGACATATAATGTTGAGTATCTTTTCATATGCTTACCTGACATCTGTGTTTCTTTAGTGAGGTGTCTCTTCAGATCTTTTATCCACTTTTAATTGGGTTTTTCATTTTCTTATTGTTGAGTTTTAAGAGTTCTATTTATAATTCGGGTAATCGTTCTTTATCAGATGTGTCTTTTATAAATATTTTATTCTGCCCTGGTTGGTTTTCTTCTTCTCTCGACATTGTCTTTGCAGATCAGAAGTTTTTAATTTAATGAAGTCTGTCTTATCAATTATTTATTTTGTTGTATTATGCCTTTTGCATTGTACTTAAAAAGTTATTGTCATATATGAAGTCATCTAGATTCTCTCCTGTGTTATCTTCTAGGAGTTTTATAGTTATATTATTACATTTAGATGAGCCATTTGAATTCATTTTAGTGAAGGGTGTAAGATTATCTAGATTCATTTGTTTTTGCATGTGAATATCCAGTAGTTCCATCACTATTTGTTAAAAGATTATCTTGGCTCCATTGTATTATCTTTGCTCCTTTGTCAAGGATCAGTTGACTGTATTTATGTGGGTTCATTTCTATGCTTTCATTTCCGTTCCGTTAATCTAATTGTCTTTTCTTTCACCAGTACCATGATGTCTTCATTACTAGAGCTTTATAATCCTCTCGAAGTTGGGTAGTGTTCGCCCTCCTGTACTGTTGAATCAACTATTCTGGGTTTGCCTCCATATCAACTTCAGAATCAGTTTACTGGTGCCCACACTGATTTGCTGGGATTTGGATGGGGATGGTATTGAATGGAAAGATTAAGGTGGGAAGAACTGACCTCTTGAAAATACTGGGTTTTACTATCCATAAATATTTTGGTTTTTGATATCTTTCATCAGGGTTTTGTAGTTTTTCTCATATTAATCTTATAAGTATTTTACTACATTAGTATATAAGTATTTCATTTTGTGTGTTGCTAATGTAAATGGTAATGTGTTTTTAGTTTCAAATTTGACTTGTCCTTTGTTGGTATATAGAAAAGTATGAGGTATTCCTTCTTGGGTCCAACTGTAACAGCATAATCAATAAAAAAATAAAAAATTTAAAAAAAAAAAGAAAAGTATGAGGTAATAGAAAATATATGTATTGGCCTCTGTCCCCAATTCCTGGCACAGAGCTCTTAAAAGCCTTGTAATGTTCTAAGTGATAAGAGCATTAGGAGCCCCTTTTATTCTAATGAGGTGACTCTGGGTGGGCTCCTGGATAGGGCTAATCAATAGAAAGACTGATCCATGATCAGAAGCTTGAAACTTTCAGTCCTGCTCCTCTGCACTACCCATTTCTCCAGAGGGGAGAGGGGCTAGAAATCAAGTTAATAATTTATCATGCCTGTGTGAGCAAGACTTCATAAAATCTCAATAGTATGGGTTCTGGAGAGCTGTCAGGTTGTTGAACACATCTGTTTACTGGGAGGGTGACCCACCCAAACTCCATGGGGACTGAAGCTCCTGTGCTTGGTATAAATAACTTTATATTTTGTATTTTTACTTATTTATTTTTTGGAAGTAAAGCTCTTTTAATATTAAGAAGATATGGTTTGCCCAAGTAATCAAAGATGTGATGCTGTAA